GGAGCCTGCCGCTGCTGCTCAGCCGCGCCGCCGTGCGCACAGGTGAGGGCTTCCTGCTCGGCTCGTCCTGGGCCACCTCTGCCGGGGCCTCTGGGAGCACGGTCCCCAGGGCTGGGTCTCTGGGCTGGGCCCTGGGCCCGGGCAGCCTGCGTCCAGGCCAGGCCGGGCTGGGCGGAGAAGGGCGCGGAGGGCACTGGAAGGCCGTGGGGACTCTGGACGGCCTCCTGCCCCCAGGCATCATCGGGAAGAAGCACGTGGGGCCGGAGGCGGTGTTCCCCTTCGACTTCGCGCACACGGAGGAGACTGACTCGGTGCTCCAGGTGGGCCGCAACATCACCAGGATTCGGCTGCTGGTCCGGGAGTTCCTGCAGACGGGGGACAGCAGGTGCGGAGGCCTCAGTCCAGACCCCGGGTGGTGGGCATGCGACGCACCCAGAATCTTTCCTTGAGAGGGTTCTCCAGACAGTGGAATGGGGTAGGGGAGAAGGTTCCAGACACTCCAGTGAACCTGGTCAGAGGTCGAGGGCCCTGGGGAAACTGAGGTGGCGAGGCTCGCAGTGACGGGAGCAGGCAAAGCTGAGGGGGCTCCTGCCTGAAGGAGGGGGCTCCCAGGGTCGCACACCGGGCCCTGGCACTGAGGCCCCGCCCTGCGCAGGCCCTTCTTCCTGTATGTCGCCTTCCACGATCCCCACCGCTGCGGGCACTCCCAGCCCCAGTACGGGACCTTCTGCGAGAAGTTCGGCAACGGGGAGAGCGGCATGGGGCGCATCCCAGACTGGACCCCACAGGTCTACGACCCCCAGGATGTGCAGGTAGGGGGCTCTCGGCGAGCTGGCAGCCCGGCCCCAGGTGTGACTTGGCTCGGAAGTGGCCCTGTGACCTGGGTCCAGGTCCCCTCTGCGGGGCCTGCAGAGAGAGGCGTGAGGACACAGGTGACACATCCAGCACCGTGGACTTGGGGGCTGATCCATTCCCAGGAGGATTCAGGCCCCTGATTCAGGGCTGGACAGGTCCCGGCCTCGGTGCTGATGTGGCCTCTCCACGCCCTTGCCTCAGGTGCCTTACTTCGTCCCTGACACCCCAGCAGCCCGGGCTGACCTGGCCGCTCAGTACACCACCATCGGCCGCATGGACCAAGGTGGGTCAGGGAGTCCCGGTGTGGGGGTGTCCGTGTGGGCCAGGAGCCTGGGACCTGGGGGGTGTGGAGGGACTCCTGTCTCCGGCCCCTGCCCGACTGTCCCTGTCAGCCCCACAGGGAAGACCTGAGGTTCCAGA